AAAAAAAAAAAAAAAAAAAAAAAAAAGTAATAACTATAGTAGTGGTAACTATAATAGGGCTAATATTTGGGTACTTGCTATGTGCTAGGCATTGTGCTTTCTAAGCTTTCTCTCATCTAATCTTTACAATAACCCAAAGAAAACACATGTCAACTTTACAAAGGAGGAGACCAAGCACAGAGCATAAATCACAGCTAAGGGTATGCAGTATGGGAGTAGTGGACCCATGGTAGAAACAGGTGTGCCTAACTCCAGGGTCTGAATTCTACCCTCTCCATGTTTGTGATCCATGATGAGACAATACACGCTACAAATTCTCTATGATGAATGTGATCATTATGCAGAAATGCACCAGAAAAAAAAAAAAAAAAGATAATACATGCTTTTACTTGCTATATTTAACAATGGAGAGCATATTAAGTACGGTGAGAAGTGTTTTAAGTGTAAGAAAAAAAGTTGGCACTTCTAAGAAGCTATGAAAATGTTTCTATTCTACTTAACTGACTCTAAATATTGATTTAAAAAATACGGTTAGCTTTTATATACATGTCTCTCTCTACACAGACATAAAAACAACAAACAAAAAGCAAAGTTTACATACTGATTAATTTCCCTGCCATGTCCTTGTTGGACCTGGATTCCTTGGGGTGTTTATAGAGATACATCACTGCTCGTCCAATCCCACTATGTTTCAGGGTCTCCTGGCTCACACTAGGTAGCTGGGGAACATAAACACATACACACAAATTAATCACTCAGAAGCCGGGAGCTTTGCTAATCTATGCTAGAGGACCTTTAAGACCTCGTTCGTTCACATCAGAACAAAATTTAAAAGTCCATTTCCAAGATTTATAGATACTGAACACATAGATCCTCTGTGTTCACATGAGAAGTTGAGAGTTTAGTATTATCACTAAGTTGAACTAAAACTGATCAATGTGAGAAAGTGTGAACTGAGAATACTTACAAGTAGCAGTTTAATACAGGAGTTGGCACAGGCCTCAGAAGTCAACGCACCTAAGACTGAACCCAAGCACAGCCACCTGCCTGCTATCTGACTTTGGACAAGCCATTTAACTTCTGAGTCTTCATTTCCTCATCTGTAAAATGGAGACAATATGCCTACCTTACAGGTTTATTGTGAGGAATAGGTGAGCCAATACATACACAAAGCACATGGAACAGTGCTTGGCACATAGGAGATTCCTCGGGAATTCCCTGGTGAGTTAAGGAGCTGGCCCAAGACATCAAAGTCATGCAAGTAAGCATAGCTTGAGTCCCGAACAGGTTCACATGATTCTGAACTTGAATGTCCACTACTGGATTACTCTTCAGAGACACCATTGCTACTTCAAAATCGTTTTCCTTTAACACTACAGTTACAGGAAGTTTTACGGGTCCTTCCTTTTTATGTTCATTTTATTAGGCAGTTCCTTTTTCCAACCTCTTTTTGGAAGGCTTTGGCAGAAAGAATTTATAAATACACAGTAAAATACAGAGGCCATGAAAATACAAGCCATATTAGATAATTAATGAAGCACAACCAGATTATCTGCTGCTAACCTCTTGCAGAATCTTCAACAGCTCCTCCCGAATCTTAAGCGCTGGCAAACTCCTATCTGGTAGAGGTGAGAGCCACTCTTTGATGGCAGACATCACACCACTGTCAATGAATGTTTCTTTAAGGTCCTGCCTGCAATAATAACAATAAAAAAAGGTCAAGTCTATGCACCTTGGTTCCACTGCATCTCCCTCAGATTTTCTTACATGTTTAGGGATATTTCAGAATATTGCTTAAAAAAATATATATACATTCAATATTACTGGGCTTCTATTCTGTTCTCAAAAGCAGAATGAAAGTTAGATTTTCTAGAAACATACAGATTTGACCAGCAAAGATGATTTGTTAAAAGCAAAACCAAAATAAACTCAAATCAGACAAGACAGATTAATTACACTAATATGAATGGCACATTGCTCACTCTATCAGAATAATAATTCTTAAACAGTTTGAGGAGGCCGAGAACCCAGAATTGTGCTATTCTTTGCAGGACACCAAGAATATAGCTTTCCAGGTAGAAACAAAAATACTGGAAATTAAATTCCACTTTAGGCAACAGAATAGCTTACATTATTAATAGGAAACCTAGCCACATAGTTCTGCCTGTTGGCACAGAAACAGTAGTTGTTTAGTCTCTGTCATCTGATGTCACATTAATGAGTTGGGGGCTCATTAACGTACTAACGCATTTCAGCCACCAAGAGTAGGCTGTGACTTTATTCAAAGAGAAAGCAAAACTGCAGATAAACACGACAGAACCAATGAAAAAAATTTCCGAACAAGGACCTAACGAGAAGGGCACCATTATTACAGAAAGATCAATGATTATGATTTACAGGGACATACAAATCTTGAAAAATACGTATCTCAAGTTCTCTTCCAAGATCTGTCTTGTTTTTAATGACACTGAGAAAACAGAAGCGATTATACCAGACCCCATACTGTCCATAAAGAATAAAATTAGTAGTTTTCAAGGTTTTCTTTCATTAAGTCAGTTTTTCAATTGTTTCCATCAGGCATCAAAGTTTAAGAAAAATTAATTAAATATAATTTAGGAAATTTCATTTATTATTATATTTCTGTTACCTGACAGATACTATCATTATTTAATACCCTAGAATACCAGTAGTTTGAATATCATTTCATTAAAGGGAAAAATATTTTAAAGAAAATAGTGGGCTGGGGATTTAGCTCAGTGGCCCAAAGCCTGCCTCACAAGCAGAAGGTCCTAAATTTGATCCCCAGTGCTAAAAAATAAAAAAAGAAAGAAAATACTTACTTCTTAAGATGCATAACCACAGTAGGCAATAAAGTTAATTTTTTCAGAGCTGGTTTTTTTTGATTGTTCAACTGTCTGTCTTCCTATCAAGAAAAAAAGACAAAAAATATTTAAAAAATATAGTACTAATTGTTACTAATGAATTATAACCACTGTAATTCTGAACCTTAGAGCAGCAGTTTCTCAAAGAAACTCCAAGTTTTTACCAGATGTGGTGGTGTATGCCTGTAATCCTAGCACTCTGGGAGGCAGAGGCCTGAGGATTCCAAGATTAAGCACCAAATGTGCAACTAAATAAGATCATCTCAAAGCAAGTCAAAAAGCCAACACCACCAGCACTGCCAGCACCACCAACAGGGGTGGGGGTCAGATCAGTGAGAAGGTTCTGGGTTCAATCTTCAGTACTGAAAAATACAATTTTCCTACCAGAGGATAACTAAATATTAATACACAGTCTTCATTCAACTGACTTACATTCCTGTATCTAGGTCATGAAGTGACTTGGTCACTAAACGAGAAATCCTATGTAGCAAGTACATCACAATATTCAGAACAAAGAAATGGTCAAAGGAAACTCCAACTTGATGACTTTGCTTTTACTTGCATAACTTTTACATGCAGGGCTGTAATGTGTAACAAAACAAAACTGCAGTACTGTACAGTACAATCAGCAAAAATTACAGTAGTATATAAACAAGGTGTACAGCACCAAAAAGAAGACAGGTCCTAAGTCTGAAGAGCACACCTTGCAGCCAGGCCTGGTGGCGCACGCATGTAATCCCAGCACTCGGGAGGATGAAGCAGAAGGATCACTGTAAGTTCGAGACCACCCTGGGCTACACAGTGAGTTCCAGGTCAGTCTCAACTACAGAGTGAGACCCTGTCTCAAAACCCTCTCCCCTCAAAAAATGTGCACCTTGATTATAAACCTAATTATAAGACACTAAACATGTAGGGTGAGCAATGTCTGTATAGGAATACACATATTTTTATATCTATCTTGTTAGTCAAACCCATAAAATTATTACAGTACTTACCTTCAACAATTCTAAATCAAGAAATACAATTTTAATTTAAAATACTAGCAGAATTATCAAGTTTTCAGCGTTCAAAGGACAAATTATTATAGCTGATAAGTTTTAGTTCATTTTCAAGAACAGTATTCCGCATATAAGACTTATATGTTGTATTACCAAATAAGACTTTTGGTAGTAACGGGTAATTTTTAAGTTTTAGTTATGAAAAATGTCAAATTCTACAAATATAGATGTACATGTCCCTGCATGTTTGAAGAAGTAAACACATAGGGCAGTCTCACTTCAGCTAAATCTTAACCTACTTTTCCTTCTGCTCTTGTTTTGAAACAAATCCCCGACACAGATCACTGACTACTTCAGCAAGTATGTCTAACAGAACTGGTACTAGTTGTTACTAATGAATTACAGCTACTGTAACTGTTTTTTAAACTTAACACTGGACAGTTTTACAATTTGGACAGATTTTTAATATGTAATGAATTAGATGTGATCTCTGATTAGAGGCAAGAGAATGACAATTTTATTTAAAAATTTTATTTCAGATGCTTTAACCAACTTCTATCATCCCTTCTTGTTCCACCCTCTTGGGTGTCTCCTTTACTTCCCCTACAAAAGAAAAGCTCTTTTCTGCCTGCTGAAATGCTTGTGGCTTTCACAGATGGGGCATTCTCCCTACTGCAATACTCCTTTTTCTGAACAGTCATGTCTTCTATCAACCAATATTTCATCTAAAACAATGTCTAGAAACCTCTTCAGGACAACAGCAATTATGTCAGAAAGGGCAGTACAACTCCCCTCCCACTTAACCCCAACCACATACGCATAGTAATCCTCCTTTCCAGTAAGTTTGGAAAAGTCCGGCAGCACATAAGCAATGGGCTGACAGACAGGCTGTGGATACGAGTGAGTCTCTGTGCCCAAATATTTAGAAATTCGGGTAATCGGGTCTACCCTGGGGAGAATGGAAGAACCAGCGACCACACATCATAGATCCTCCTGAAATAAACCCACATGCTGATCAGGGAGTCTCCTCCTGACTCTCCTGTAGCCTATGCAGTCCAAGGAGATAGGAGCTATGCAGGTATCCAAAAAGTACTACAATTCCAAGTCACTGCACAGTGACATGACAGGACAATGGCACAATGCCCACCGCCCCAGCCCCACACTACATGGGATGGAGGGGGTTGAGGACAGAGCAGTGTGTCAGTGGTCCCTCCAAAATCAGTTCCTGACAGTTCCAACCAATCCCTCTCTCAGCCTTGGTATGATACACCAAGGTACTGTTCGCCAGTTCGCCATTTCCAGCTTCCGGATTTTTCATGTCCAACACATGCAACCTGTGGCCAGAGTGATGAAGGCTTGGCTACCTGGGGCTGCTCTCAGCAGCACACAGGGTCACCAGCGTGAGTGACGCAGAGTGAAGACTCTGTGGGCTATGGAGCATCATTTCCTCCCTAATGACACAATTTTATAACACTTTTCTTACATAAAGAGATACCAAGCTTGGTAAACAGTCAAACCTGAGAACAAGCCATTGCTCATTAAACCAGCAAAGCTACTCAGCAAAGTTGGTTTCACTTAACATTTGGTCTTTTCATTTTTTTTCCGTAAACACAACTAAATAAAACATTTAAATTATTTCCAAGTTTAAAATTTTAAATATCAAATCATCATAAAATTATTAGCACTGAATCTAATAAGGGACTCCTTTGAAATGTTTGCTGAAAAAGCTCATGGACAGATAATAGTCTAGAATCTGTCTCATTCTGAAACTAGTTTCACAGACTGTTCTATGAGCTAAAGTTTACATCTGCTTGACAGAGCCTAACACTACCGAGATAGTTTAGTTCAACGAATTAATTGTCATTTATTACTTTAATGTTCTTGCTATTTTAACCTGTTCTCTTTGTTAGGGACTCGAGAAAAGAAAAGAAAAAAAAAAAAAGCTTGGGTAGGAATGATGGGACAGGGCAGAGACGTGATGAATCAGTTTATTTAGGAAGCTGATCGCTTCTCTGGCCTTTTGGCTAAGATCAAGTATTTAGGGAGCTGATGCAATGCTCTTATCTTTCTGTATTACCTAAGCCTGTTCTCAAATGAAAATGACTGTTTCCTTGCTCTGAGTCTAGTTCATGTCTGCACTGCTGGATTTATGGTCAAATGTAATATAGACATAACATGTGAACTTTCTGAGTTTTCACACTCTCCAGAATTTCTCTTTGTAAACGTTAGTGCCTGATTGTGTTAAATCTGTTTTAAGAATGTTTAATTGTAGCCTCTGCTAATTACTCAGTACTGTAGCAGCAAAGTATTATTTGTAAGAATCAGTTATTTCTATATGTATACTGAATATAAATCTGCTGCTCTAGTTAGTAAAATGATGCAATAAAATGCCATTTTCAAAAAATATTTAAGGTGGGAGGGACAGGGATTTGGCTCAATGGTTCCACCAACTGCCTTGCAAGAGCAAGGTTCTGAGTTCGATCCCTGGCACCAAAATAAACAAACAAACCAACAAAATTAGAGCAGTATGTATTATCACAACAAGCGAATTATTTTTTAACGTGGTTTAAGGATTAAGCATTAAAAAACACCACTCAGCCATTACTCAGGGAGAAAGAAGTGAACCTAGAAGTGACTCCGCTCACCTCGGCAGCTTCGTTCATCTTGACAATCATGGCGCTGACGACATCATCAGCGTCACTAATAAAGGTGCCACCGTCACGATTACGTCTTCGCTTGCCACTCATGCTTTTTTTCCGCTGCAACATCATCTCAAAATCCGACAGGAAGTCCATACTAAGCAGTAACATAACATTAAGTGACATCCAAGTTCTTTTAATCACATATTTATCACAAGAAAACCAATTGCCTAACTCTAACACAATGGGATGCTGATTTTTACAAGTGCCAGTTCGTATACCTCACTATTAACACAGCTGACCACAGCCCTTCTATCCACCTTCTGTTCTACCCCAAGAGCTACCCACTAATCACCAACAGCCTAGCCACCTCACACTTGCTCTATCAGCTTTGAGAAGAAACATTCAAGTTCTCGTTCAGCTTTAGATGCTCTGCCTTTTTTTGGAATAGGTATTCAGGTAAGTATTTGTATGTTTCTATTTTATACTGCTTAAGCAGAAAAAAACAAAACAATTGCTTTTTCCATGATAAGAGCACAACTCAAAACAACTGGACTGAAATAAAGGATAAAAATACTCAAAAAAGGAAGATGACTCTGACACTATTTTGTATAAAATTTAAATTTCTAAGTACTGTACTGCCAAACTCACTCAGCTTAATTATAGAATATGCGAGTAAAATACAATCACATACTCGGTTGCTTAGAATTATTTCCTTTCCCCACCAAATCAGCTTTCTCTAAAACATTTTTTAAAGTTATTTTTTTTGGAAGAGTTGCTTGGTGAGACATAAATTAAAAGAGTTTGGTGTCATAAAAATATAACATCACAAATTAGGACATTTAAGCACAGGCAAATAACAGTAAGCGTCACTGACAACAGCATAAACAGCGAAGATCGAGAGAGAAATGGAACAGATTGTTATCCTAAATTTAGAAATCAAAATAAAAACAAAAATTTAATAATTTCTACCTTCATTTAGCTTCCTTTAAATGAATTCCTTAAAAAACAAGCAAATATAAAAACTTACTGCTTGCCTCTCTTGATGTTATCATCAGAATCTGAATCTTCTGCTTCTTTCACCTGTGTTTCACCTTTTTCTTCTTCCAAATCTTCTTGATTAAAACCCTAAAGGCAGAGTTAGTCAAATTTATTACAACCCCCTTACAGATTTTTTTCTTCTATAAACTGCTCTTAATTTTTTGCAGTATATCCACAAAGAACAGTAACAGGTATCAAAAAGGATGTAGCAAAAACTCCTTAGTGTTACCAGTGTTATTTCCTTCCAAAAATAGTCTGTTTATATAAGTATTTCTGCATACATATTTACTGTCTTCTTTTATTATATGAATAGCAGGGTATTATTCACAGAGGTATGAGACACTGCTCTGTACTTCCCAAAATTAACAAGAAAATGTACACATCAATCCATATCAGCTTGAAGTATCTTCGCTCTTTTTAAGGCTTTGGGTTATTTCACTAAATAGGGCTGTGACACTAATTTGCTTAACACATTTGTCTACTACCTGTTACGTGTATCTGAAGTTCACAGCCATATTTGCCACACTGTTTTCCATACATGTTATGCCAATTATCTGTCCTTCTAGAAAAATGTGAGTGTGTGCTTCGCTACTTCTTAACATATAGCAGGTTATCAAACACTGATATCCACCAATCTATGGACCAAAAAAGAAAAGGGATTTTAGTATGGTTTTATTTTCATTCTCTTATTATGACTGAACTGGGACTTTTTTCATGTTTAAGAAGCCGTTTATAATTATTTCTCTGTAGGAGACCGCAATATTGATTATGCGCAGAGTATAAACAGCACAGGCTGTAAACAGTTAACCCTCCAACTGGCTTGTTCTGAGAAGCAAGTCTGGCCAAAGCCCAAGTGCCAAGGCCGTAAAATCTTCTTGACTACAAGAATAAGGATTTAATTATAATCATATATTATTTTGTTTAATCTTTTCCTAACTCGAGTGCTGTCTTTTTCCTTTACAAGCCTTGCCTGTGTTTGTTTCCATAGAAACTGCTCAACTGCACATCCTTGCATATAGTTCACCTTTGCCCCAATTGAGTGCCAATAAAAATCAGTCCTGCGGACTGACCAGCGCCTTTGCTGATTAAGCAGCCAGCATTGGCCGTCCTGGCTCCCTGCTTTTCTGTCTCTTTAGATCTTTTAGTTTTTCTCTCAGCCTTGTGCCATAGCACTGAGCAGATCAGAAGTGACTACAGATCTCTGATATTTACGAATTCTACTTTCCATTTTCATGTAAATGAAATGGCAAGTCTTTTCAGTGCAGCTGCTCATTTTTGTCAGACGCTCTCATACTTCAAGATGCCTTCTCAGGGCTTCACCTTAGTTATGTCGTTTTCCTCGATGAACAAAACTACAGCAAGTTGATGTAAACTCTCTAAATACACCTTACTGTTGGTTATGTAATGTTTAATGACAGTGAACTACATGAGGGCAGCTGCCGATTTCTGTGGAATAGTCTTTCAAATAATTGTTAAATGAATTCTCTCTCAGTATTTTCCTTAGCTTTACTTTTTTTTTGGTACCAGGGATCAAACTTGGGACCTTGCACTTGCAAGGCAGGTGGCAGAACCACTGGGCTAAATCCTCGGCCCAAGCTTTGTTACTTTTTTAATATTTTGAATTAAATTTCCAATTTATCTATTTTCATTCTGGCTTTAGTAAATTAACTAGATTTTTGATTTGAGAACTATTTTATTTTAATAAGACATCAAATTTCAAGTGGCAAGATGTTTTTATTAATTGTTATTTTTAATTTCATTGCACTGGATTCAGAAAATACTACCTATACTTCCTACTTTTTGGAAAAACTTAGTTTAAAATGCACGTGGAAATGCAAAGAACCAAGAAAAGCCAAAGTAATGTTGATTAACAAGCTTTGAGGACATGATCAATTATTCAGAACTAATAATGTGTTAAGAGTACAAGGACAGAGACCAACAGAACTGAGAAGATGGTACAAAAACAATCTGGAAAACATGTAACTGATGTATGAGATGGAAACACTGAATAGTAGGAAGGAATGATCATTTCAATTAACTGTGCTAGATAAATCAAATATTCCAAACTGGGCGTGTTTATGTAATGATTTTAACTTCTACTTCAAATTACAAAAACCAATTCTAGGTGAACTACCAGATATGAAAAGTAAACAATAACTTTCTAGAAGATGATCTATTAGAAAACCTTCACGACCCTGGGGATACGCCAACATTTTGTTCATCAAAAGGTTCCATTAAGAAAGGGAAAGGAAGGGCCACGGATTTAGCCCAGTGGTTCTGCCACCTGCCTCGCAAGCACAAGGACCCAAGTCCGATCCCCGGAACTAAAAAAAATAAATAAAAGAGAAAAGAGCCGGGCATGGTAGTAGTGCACACCTATGATCCTAGCCCTTGGGAGGCCGAAGCAGGAAGACTGTCACAAGTTCTAGGCCAGCCTGGACAACATAGTGAGTTCAAGGCCAATCTGAATTACATAGTGAGGCTCTGTCTCAAAAAATTAAAAAATTAAAAATTTAAAAAAAAATAAAGAGAGAGAGAAAAGGTGGGCTGGGATGGGATGCAGCTCAGTCAGAGTACTTGCCTACAAGGTCCTGAGTTCATCCCTAGTACCAAACAAACAAATGAGCAAACAAACACAGGTGAAGTAGGCAAACAGATCTTGTTAAAGGGTCCATATCCAGATTATTACAGAAAGATTTCCTGTGGCTTTTTGGGCTGTTGTTCTGTTAATTACATTCCTCTTTGTTCATGGTTTGCACATTGTTCTTTTTTAGTTTTGTAGCTATTTAAAGCCATATCATCAGGACCGGGATTTAGCTCATCAGTTCCACTGCCTGCCTTGCCAAGCGCAAGGACCCGAGTTCAATTCCCGGTACCACCAAAAAAAAAAAAAAAAAAAAAAAAAAGCCATTATCATGAAGTGCACAGAATTTTAAAAATCAATAAAAAGAGATCCTCTTTATTTCAAGTAATGTTTTCTGCCTTAAGTCTACCTTTCTGACTAAATGTAGCTATATTTATTTTCTTTTGCTAAGTGTTGATATGAAGACTCTTTCTTACTTTTATTTTCAACTTTCTTGTCAGATGATTCTCTTGAAATCTGTATTTGGTTTTAAATTCCTGTCTTGATCATCTTTGTCCTTTATTAGAGCATTTAATATATTTATGTTTTATTAACATCTGATATTATCAAAGGTTAAGTCTGTGTCACGACTACATGCTTATAACTACCCCACAGTCTACATTTCTTTTCTCTTTTCCTGCATCCTTTTGGACTGATTAGTTTTTATTATTCCATTATTTTCCCTCTATTTGTTTGGAAGTTACGTAAACCATTACAGTCTTTTTAGTAGCTAGTGGTTGCGTAGATGATGACAGGCACCTAAACTTGTTAAAGAATGCACCCTAACTTACCAAAGTCTACCAGTGTACATTTCCATTCATTTGCAAAGAGCTATGAGCCTGCAACTCCATATATATTCCCAGCTTGTTACTGCTATCGTGTTTTTTAATTCTGTACTTTAAAATAAACCAGACATAAATTTCTCTTTTCTTTAGTCAATACTGAGACTAAACCACAGGTTGTTTGTTTTTGGGGGGTACTGGGGATCTAACTCGGGACTTTGACTTGGGAGACTGGAATGGTGCCACTGAGCTAAATCCCCAGCCCCTAAACCACATACCTTTTCATTTCCATTTTTCTTCCTTTCTACATTTCCCACTTTCTACTTGAGGTCATTTTCTTCCTGCTCATTTCTTGAGGTACTTCCTAATTGTTAATTCATTTCACACTTATTCCTGAGAAGCACGTCTGCTGCATATAACAGATTTTTAACTTTACAGCTATTGGGGTGTTTCTGCTGCTGAAAAGGTGGTTATTAGTTTAGGTGCTGCTTGCATGCATGAGTGCACTCATTCTCTGTACAGGGATTGAAGCCAGGGATGCTTTACCAGTCGGTGCACAGGATACATTCCCCAGTCCTTTTTAATTATGAGAACTTAAGTTGCCCAGGTGGGACTCAAATTGGGATGCTTGTACCTCAACCTCCCAACAGTTGGGACTAGAGGTTTCCACCACCCCACCCAGCTAGTTGTTGCTTTTCTTAACGTAATTCTTTTTTCCTGTTATGCTTTTAAGACTTTCTCATTTTCTTTGATCTGCTGCAGTTTTATAATGTTCTTAGATATAAATTTATTTTTACTGTATTTATCCTGCATGCAATTTGTAAGACTTTCATAATATATGGTTTTATGCATTATTTCTGTAAATAGTTTCTGATATATGTTTTTCCTTTTCTACTAGTACTCCAATTATGTTAAACTTTCTCATGAACTTTTTTTTTTTTGTTTTCTATAATATATCGCAATCTTCTTTATAGATAATTCCTTGTAACTTATCTTTCAGTTCACCAAATCTTTTGAAATATGTCTTTTGTTAAACTCATGTATTGAATTTTTAATTTTAGCTATGTTTTATAGTTCTCAAACTTCTACTTGTTTTATTGGTTTTTTTTTTTTTTTTTTTTTTTTTT